GGGTGTGTATGTTGTTTTTTTGTTTTCTTAGGGGTCTTTTCTCACTTCCCTTTAGAAGTGGTAAAAGAAATCTCAGTAGAGGAGCCATCTATGAGGAATAAGCCCCCGAGACAGGGAATTAATGCAGAACAGCTCTTGCATTGTAAACGCTCACCACAGCTTATTCTCTGCTGACAAGTGCGCTTGGCGCACGTAGCCTTCAGAGTTCGCTGCAGATTCCATTGAGAGAACACAACTGCTCGTGAAGTGAGCCAGTATTTTGAAGTTTACTGTGGTATTTTCATAGTTTATCCTACGTAATCTAAAGTGGCTTGCTGTGCTGCAGTGGCATACAGCAGGGGAATTTAAAATTGGTCGTTATTCCTCCCTCACGTTTACAGAGAGAAGTAAGGCGATTACAGATTTTGAAAAGATTACATTTTTAGTCATGTTAAAAATAACTGCAAATCATCTTCAGGTTCAGGAATCTTGAGCAGCATATGAGTTAATAAACCAACTTCGGATCTCGTTTGACGCTGTCTTCTTGGCTGTGACTTTGCAGCAGCCTGTGAGACTCTTCCTGGTAAATTTAGGCTAGTCCATAATGCTTTTCTTCTTTATTTTTCTGGTTTGCGGTCATAGTAGCAAGGTGAATTTTCTTATATGTCCTCTTTCAGCTAAGATTTCAGCTCTTAGTTGTCATTGTTACCCCTTTCTGAGCAAGTGAACTGTACTCCTCTTGCTGTTTGTACTGTTTTTATTCTCTTCTAAAAGAGTTTTTTGAGTTTCTATAGGATTCTCTCATCTCTCTAACAGTAAAACCATGTATTATCGGCAAGGTTTTAATTGTTGTTGCTGTATAGCTCTTCTGTTGGTAAGTCACAGAGCTCTTGTCAAAACCAGAGAGCAACTGTGAAATTTGCCACTTTAAATGAGAGAGATACGAGATAAGGATTCCAGGCTCTTGTCCATGTTGCGAGATGTTGAAACCACAAGCACGGCATATGTTGATTCGCATCATACCTAGTCATGAAATGTCACCCTACCCGCTGCTGCAAGAGGAGGAAAAGGCAGTTTAGGTTCTCAGTAGGGGTTTTTCTGGTTGGCAAGGAGCGATTTGAGCCAAGTTCAGATTGCCCTGCATTTACTTGTGCTGGTCTGTCAGCACGTGCCAAATCTGACACTGCCTTCCAGTTTTCCTCAGGACAGCTGCTTGCGTCAAGTGGTACCTCAAATTCCTAGTAACTGGGTTTTAGTAGAGTTCACAAGGGAAAGACAAATCCAGACGTGCAGCCCGCGAGTCTGAGACACTTCTTGGGTAATTTTTGCATCATAAGGAGATGCTTCAAAGGTCTCTCCTTTATTTCAGGGGTTGAATTATTTCACAATAAGTGCTGGGTGTTGATTGTATTTGTCAGTCTGAGAATTAGTTTCATAGCTGGGATGTTCCCCATTTCATGACACGATGGGACTTTCAATTGTCTGGAATTACTTTGGCATCATGTTTGAACGATCCAGGCAGCTTTTAATAAGATGGACATTAAGGTGGTGAAGAGAATTTGGTTTGCATAACTGAAATTAGGGTGTTCAGAGTTGAGTTCTGTAGCTGAAACCTTTGAGCTCTATTTAATGTAAATAAATTCTGTGGTTTGGTGGCATTGGGATTAGAACTAGGGTATTTTTAATGTTTCACTTCTGTGTTTTCATTTTTTTTTAGGTATTACTTGTGGTCGTACACGCATCCCTGTTTTAGGAAAACTTCGGACTTTTGAAAGTGGTTCCCTAAGACGGATTCCTCTTAGAAACTTCTCAGAAACACCGGCGTATTTTGCTTCAAAGGATTGTGCGAGCAAGGATGGTTCTGGAGATGGAAGCAAGGTAATCTCCACGCTTTAGGTGTTTCAATGGTTTATATAAAACGTTTCTTAAATGTTTTTAGTAGACTTTTTTCCTTACTTAAAATTGATATCTTCTTGAAATTATTGCTCACTCTAGACATTACTGATCTTTCAAATTGCTACAAATGACAGCGAAGAAAAAATAAATTGTATTGTGAATTTGTTTTATAAACACCCTGTAAAGCTCTTCCCAGTTTTACAGTGGTTTTTGCCTAGTGTAAAGGGACACGTGAAAACCTTGTAGAACGTTATAAATCCACAACAGATTTCAGGATCTTGGGAAGGGGTAGTGGTCAGAACTATTCTCCTTCAAAAGCCTGCTACTCCCGAGTAGGCTTTTGAAAGTAAGTACATTTTAAATTGTTTTTGTGTTCAGCGCTGATTTGGTAGTTGTATGAAGCAAGACAAGTTTGAGAGGAGACTGGCTTTATTCTTGTCAGTAAATTGTAATCTATTTTCATCCTAGTCTTTCTCCATAATTATAGTTAATAAGCAGCTGCTTCAGATAAATGATTACCTGAGAATAAAACTGCTCTTTAGTCAGCAAATAAGATTTTGAGAGTTCACAGGCAATAGCTTTGCCTTGATACAGCATGTTGTGACATCTGAGGAGCTGTCCAGATGACACAGGGGTGTTCTGAAGGTTCAGATTAAATGTTATAAAAGAATAAAGATGAAAGATAAAAAACTTTTAATAGTCTTTTTTTTTTTTTTCTTGAAGAGGGTTGTGAGGAGAAATGAGTAGACAAGCAAGGTTTAAAAAAATGGGGAACTGCCTTAGAAAAGGGAAGAGAGATCTTTGCTGTTTCCTAAAATCTAATAGCTTTTATTAATCAAAGTACGGAGGCATAGAGTGGATATAAATTTAAGAAATGTTAACCTTGAGCACCACTAAGCAGGGTAACGTGGAGAAATTCGAGTAGGTCTCTGTCAGGGAGCTGTGCCTTAGAAGTAAAAAAATAAAATATTTCCAAGCAATTTCTGAGGTGCTTGTTTTATAGACCATCTCTGCCCTACAGCCCTCTGCCAGCGTAGCTACATCTGTCAAGGACGTGAGAAGAGTTGTGACTTCAGGAACCCTTAGACTCAACACAGTTGCGATAATGAAATTACTCTCTCTATAAGTATGATTTGTTTTCTTCTTCGGGGTTAGAATAAATTACCTTGAAATGTCCTGTTAAAACGTTGGTGACACTTGAGCTTGTTACCATTCTAGTGCCAGTCAAGCTGTTCTAAGGTAGATACGGGATGCCCCTGCCACGGGCATCCAAAACGGGCAGCCCCGGGAAACGCAGGTATGTGTGCGCTTCAAAAGGTTTATATCCCGTTGTTCTACGTTGCCTTTAAAGAAGTCCTGACAGCCGCTATTTTGTCATTCAGCTACTGCAATAGTCACGTTACTGGATGCTGTAAACACGCTGCTAAGTGCCTCATGTAACAGCTCCATTGTTTGGGGCTAATTGTCTGGAAATCTTTTTTTAGAAGTCTGTCGGTGAGGGAGGTGGTAAAAAGTCAAGCTCTGGAAGCTCTGGGAAAGGAGGAAACCAGCTGCGCTGCCCAAAGTGTGGTGACTTGTGCACGCACGTGGAGACCTTTGTGTGTAAGTTTTAATTAATACTTTCTTTATTAAATAGGCACGGACGTGTTTGTGAGCTAACCTAGTCCTGATAGCTAAGTTTTGGCTTACCTAATTATGCGACATCAAAAATTTTGTTATGCTTAGTTTGGCCACGCTGGTGTAAGCATGTGTTGTCTCTGTGGTTACATGTGATGGGTGGTGGAGCAGAATACGGTAGTGGAATCCAGACTGCAGCTGTCAATATGCGGGTTTAAAGTAGTTTGTTGTGTTTTATGCAGTGGAAGAGGTGCTCACATAAACAGTACCGTTTTAACTACTTTCTGTCCGTTATATAAATACATACCTGCATGTATGTATGTTTGTAATGTCTGTCCTTTGTTTACTAAATAACAAAACTTTAATCTTGCCTGTGCTGTAACCAAGGTGCTTATCCAGCAGAGGAATGAGTGTATGACAGGTGGCTTACTGGAATGGTCTTCTATGGCAAAGTCAGATCCATAATACGTTCCAAATTGGAGGCTGGAAAGCCCAAACAGAAGATCCAAAATGCATCAGATGCCTGGTGTCCAGCAGCAATAGCTACTTTTTTTTTTGAAATACAGTCCAAATTAGTGCTAGTTATGCTTCAGCTTCTGTCAGACTTGAAGATGGTTCTCCTTATTTCAGTGCTAATGAGACCAGCCTAGAAAATAGCTGTCAGAAGGCAAATACCTGTTGTTAGTTGGTGAGGCTCGAGGAGGAAGTACCAAGTCATAATCAGACTTGTGCACTAAGAAGCTTAAGGCGAGGTCAGCATAAACTTGTTCAACAGTTGTTAATATCGCAGTTGGTGAAAATAATGAGCAAATGTGCAATTATTGGCTGCCAATTGTATAAAATACTATTGAGTAATCTTTTTTTGTTTGTTTGAAACTGTAGGCAACGAGGTTTTCAGACGAGTCTGGCACTAGTTGATGGAACTAGAAATACAATCCTGTGCGGTGTTCAGTGTGTTGGCCTGTCCCTGGACTAGGTGTGGTTGAAAACAGTGGAAGGATTTTTAACCTCGTTTACCTTCTTATCAGATGATTCATGAGTAGATGGAGACATTTTGAAACTCTTTCTCTTCACTGGTGTGTTTGTTCCTCTTGTTACTGGAGTTTGTGCTTTTATCTGGCAATACCATTCAAGCGTTGCCCCAGAGCGGAACAATCACTGTGTAGCCCTGGAAAGCAGCGATATGATCCAGTGTATTGTCAGTGGCACTAGGAATCTTTAAGCATGCTTGAAACCTTTCTTGAGAGGAGGATTCATTCATTCTGACATTATGGGAGAAAACATCTGGTATATGCAAGCTCAAATTCACGAGAGGTGATGCTGCACTTGAATTGCAGTGTCGGAATGGCCCAGGTGCTGTGAACAGCTTGGGACTGGAAAAAAACCACTTTGTACTTGTAAAAACAGTGCTGCAGCTGGTCAGAAGTTTGGAAGTCAAACTGTGAGGAATTCTGCTAGTGAATAATTGAATGTATCTGCTTTTCTCATCCTTGCTGTTCTACTCTGAGGCTTTAGGATTTTACAGCCTTTAAATGAAGTCTGTTACTAGTTCAAACGAAGCACGGTCTCACCAGATGACAGAGCAGAGCAGCTTTTTTATTCATCTCGAGAACAGCAATGGTCAGTTTTGTATTAATTGGCAACTTAAAGTTAAACCAAAGACTGTAATTGCTCTTAATTTCTCAGAAATTCCTGTGAGTCACGGTCAGGTTTTCTCTGGACCTGTGTCTTTCTGGTTTACTCTGTTCATTTGAGCATGCTGCTTCCCAGCCAGACTGTAGAATATCAAGTAGCTGGAAAACAGAAGAGCTAAGCTCTAATTATCTTAAAAATTATTTTTAAAAAGAAAACAAAAACCAATAAGAAAAAATGTCCCATTCTGCCCAAAATGAATGAGTTTCAGGTTGTATTAAACATGCTGTAACTTGATTTTTCAGATAAGCCTTTGAAGTTGCTTGGTCAGGAAAAATGATGAATTTGCTCAATTCTGGTTTGAATTATTGAACTGCAGAGCCTTAAGTAAACATCTGACACCAAAGGAAAATGTGCAGTTAGCGTTTGTTTCAGTTTTTACATATTCGTTTTTTCAATCATTTTGAGAGAAGCAGGGAAACAAAATGCTGAATAAAAGCCACCTTCATTAGTAAATTAATTGCCGTTGAGTGGCGGTGTGACAGGCTGGTTGTCCAGTGGAGTTTGTTTTTCACGGGGCTTCGCTTTATATCTTGCACAAGGATTTGCTCAGCAATGATTGTCCAGTAATTCACAGTAAAGGAAGAATATGACGCAAACCCAAAGGAATTTTGCTTTGACACGCGTTCTCAGCAGTTCCTGTATTGTTTGGGGTCGTGAGAGTCTGTAAGAAGAGTTTTGTGATCACTGAAAGAAGATGTGAGCCTCTGATGTAGAGTGAAATCCAATAGCTGTAAAGCCGATTGACATAAGAAGCCTTATCTAGGTGGTGCTTTTACTGTCTCCACCTGATGCTGTCGGGTTAGCTCCCATCCTCCAAAGTTCCCTGCTCCTGGACACACTTAATAGGCAAGAAGCTTCCCTGCTCTCTTCTTCCTGATGTCTTTTTACCTTACAGCAGTTCAATAGTAGCCCATTATCTCACCCCTACAAGTGTTTTTAAGACTAATCCTCGGATTGTTTTGGCTTCCCGGATGCACTGTAAAAACCTGGCCTTTCTCGTTGGCCAAGTCACCTCGGACAGACTTTGGAAATGGCTTTGCCAGCGCAGCCGCTGTGGTAATGTCCAAATGAAAACCAGCGCTTGACTTGCGCTTGTACCACGCTGTAAATATTTGCGGAGATTGTAGTGACGGTGAGGTAACTTGACATGAGCTCAGCTCTTTGCTGTGCTTTTCTGCCTCTGCTAAAAGAACGTAGGAAAACACGCCGGTATTTAAGAATGGCAGAGCTGTTTGCAGGTTTTGGGGAGACAGCAGTACTTGGTTTCCTTGCATTTCAGAGTAAACTTGTGTTTTGTCCTGTTAAAACTGGTACTTTTTTCCAGATTGCTGTGTAGAGGATAAAACCAGCCGGTTTCACAGCTGTGTTTTGATAACCCAGTCCCCTCCCCAAGGCCCACACACATCAAAGTTTCTCTGTAACCACGGACCCTGTTGGTCTTGCTGAAAATTGGGAGGATCTCTAATAACCTTCCTCTGTGCTGCTTGGAGTAATTGCTACAAGTGTACTCTGCACAATAATTTGTTTGTGAATGATGTTTTAAAGATGCACACTAGCGTTCTTATAGCCTGCTTTTTATTTTCTGTTCTTATAACCGTTCCTGTGGATCTGTAAAGGGGGCAAGTATTCTCGTGGCTATTCCCTCCTAATAAAGCTGACTGGTAGCATTGCATGAGGAAGGACAATAGCCTCATGGCACCGTAGTCATGAAGAATGTGAGAGGTGTTTTGAGTAACCATTGGGAGAAAGTTTGGGGGTTTTCCCCTACAATATTGTTGCGAAACAATAGTTAGGTAAGAGGGGTGCGTGCGAGTCGTTCTCCATTGCATTCCCATCAGACAGATAACAGGGATCTGGAAGGTTCCCAACTGTTACACAGATTTTATTTGGATTAGAGTTAATAAAGCTGTGATGGTTACGGTATTACGTGCTACATTCTTAAAACAATCTGCTGGTCTGTCTTACCCACTCGTAAGGTGTGTTGGATATTAAAAAACCCACCCACTCCTCTTCTGCTGATGCCAGCTCTATGGGAGGCAGCAACAAGTTGTAAATAAGCAGCTTGTTTGTTACTAGAGGCTGTTGTTAAACCAGCTGGTACTACAGCATTCAAGCCCTTTTCTGAAAACCTTCTATGAATTCAGAAGTTTTGACATTGAAGTTTTTCATGTAGTTTTGCTACATTTACTTTGCTTTTAATACGTTTACTAATATATTTACTTTTTGCACATGATTTGCATTTAATAGCACAGTAATATGGTCAGAAAAGTTCCATTTTGAATTACAAATCTGTTCTTCTCTACTGTTTTCAATTATTTCAACTTTGCTTTTCCAAAAAAAAAAAAAAAAAAAAAAAAACCCAAAAAGTAGTGCGAGTTCTAGTTTGCAGGCTTTTGAAACCAGCCTTTGCAGATAACATGATTCCTTGAGACATGGTTCACAAAGTCAGCGACAGGAGGGTTTGGCTTTTGGAGTTTGAAAGAAATTTGTTCTACTCCTGACAGTAAAAGTAAATAAGCAAAAAATATCGCGAAACATCAAAGTCTTGATCATCTGTTTCATACCGCAGCCGCCCCTTGGTGGGATGAGCCCTTTGCGTGACCCCGCTGTGTTCACTGTCCTGGTGACTCGAGCATGCCCCATCGTGCTCCACAGCCAGTGGGATGCAGAGACTGGGAGCTGCCACAGCTGTCCTTTCCTGAGCCTGCTGCCTGCTGTCTTTGGGATCCTAGATGGCTCCCCTGCGCTTTAGAGCAGCCTGTCCCTGACCACCGGGGGTTGTTCTGCCTGCTGGTTTGAGAGTTAGGAACAATTCCTGCATGATTAGAAGCCCTCATTAATTTTGCATCGCTCTGAGATGCAAAGTTTCTTCTCCTGAGTGTAGTGCTACCGAGTAAGTACAAAATAGATTTTTGCTTTTTCATCCCTTGTTTTGGTTGCTGCCTTGTGGTGTGACTTTTGGGGCAAGTTGTGTTCCCTCTTGTCCAATTTCATAGTCCAATAATTGCTTTTAAAGCTTCTACGGTGAGCGAAGGGGAGGTGTTGGGTGAGCACAGAGGTGGCTGGGCTGCCTTACAGATGCTTGTCCTGTGTGTGACGAGCTCAGGCAGATGAATGAGTGCTGTCTAAGCGATTCCTCTTACCATTTTGTTCTACTTTTTCTGCAGCTTCCACTCGTTTTGTGAAGTGTGAAAAGTGCCACCATTTTTTTGTCGTGCTGTCAGAGGCAGATACAAAAAAGAGCATCATTAAAGAGCCCGAGTCGGCAGCAGAAGCTGTGAAACTGGCATTCCAGCAGAAGCCACCACCTCCACCGAAAAAGGTATGGTTCTTAACTTCACCCCGGTGTTCCCTGGTATTACAGCATGGTGAGATGCTTTACTTCATCTGCACCAGGTGTGTCATGGTCTGCTGTGACAGAGCAACAAACGAGAAAGACGATTAGCTTGAGATTAAACCTTTGAGAGCGAGGTGACCCAGCAGGGCGCTGATAAAGGGAGCGCGTAGATCCAATAAAAGCAGTTGGGCTTGTCTTCCTCTGGCTCTGTCTTGTGCCTGAAGTCCAGCGCCTTCATGTTCTCCTCGCAACCCTGAGCCTAACCTCAGCCCTCACCAGCTGTAGTATCTTTTATTTCCTGCTGTGCCCTCGTATTCCGCACCCCTGTGTTAGCAGCTGCTTCCTGTAGTTGCTGAACCTTTTGTTTGGCCTCTCTGTGGGTGAGCACCGCGGCTGATCGGCCTCTGGTGATGACCCATCCTAAGCTGTTTGGTTTCCCTCTCCCGAATAGTGAGGGAGCTTGTTGTGTTTCTCAGTGCCTAGTGGACTGTTACGAACTCTGAAGCTGTGTGTGGCTCCTGGATAGACCTCTTGTAAGGCGTTAAATAGTCTTGAAATTTCTCTTCCTCTGACAAATTCGTGTGAAAATGACAATGGGTTTAAATATCGGTAGGGGAGAACTGTTAAGTAAGTTAAGTAAACTTATCAACAGGAATGTATTTTGTATTTTAGACGTTTGGTTCTGTTTCATCAGGTCTGTAATGGTTGGTTTAGACCAAAGTCCATCTTTGGCACAATATGCTATTTTTTCTTGCTGCAAGGTGATTTAGAAGTGTTACTAAAATTGAGTTATTTTTTCAGATTTATAACTACCTCGACAAATACGTTGTTGGTCAGTGTTTTGCCAAGAAGGTGCTTTCAGTTGCTGTGTACAATCATTACAAGAGAATCTACAATAATATCCCAGCTAACCTGAGGCAGCAAGCAGAAGTTGAAAAGCAGACTTCTTTAACACCCAGAGGTTTGTATGATGTTTGGTATTTTTTTTTCTGATCAAATAACTTACCATTTTGGGGCTGTAACGTAAGAAACCTGAGAAGGGTTTTACTTCAACACTGCATGTTCTGTAATTGGAATGAGCTAAAAGAATTTCTTTTAAATTTAATTTTCACCGTGTGTAAACTGCCGTGATTTATTTAAAAGTAATCCAGAAGGTTTATGATGCCGTGGGTATTGCCTTCCCTATTACATGGTTAGCATTTTTTACTGATGCATGTTATTAGGTATTTTCCTTTAATTTATATGAGCCTCCTAAACTTTTCTTTCTAATCTCATTTACTGCTTAATGGTAAATCTGCTGCTTAATCTGCAAGGAACAATGCAGATCGTGAAGACAGTGTTTTGCTCAGTGAGTTGGATGAATAGCTAGCGTTCTAACCTCACTTGCTGCTCTTGGCAGCATCTCTTGGTCACCGTAATATTGCTCCATACCTAGGAGGTGTAGATGGAGTTACTCTTGGCAGTACTTTTGCTACTGAGTAAGTGTGTAGCTATGTTGATCTAATGTATTTTTAGAAGCAGGATTAAGTTACTGTCTCTGATTCAAAGTGTACCTTGATTTATTTTTTTTAAGGTGTTTTGTTCTGCCTTGCAATAAATAGGCTGCTAAGCAAGCAGAATCTTCTTTGTTTTTTGATTTTATGTAAAGAAATATTTTAACTGAAGGGGGCACATGAATAGCACTGTTCTGGTAGCGACAGGAGAGCAGCTGTGCACCCGGCAGGGGGAAGCTTCTGACCCTCCACAGGAAGATGAAATGGTGCATCCCCAGAGGGGCTTGGCAGTGAACATTTATAAAGTACTTTGAAATATGTGAAATCTTACACTGTAACACTGGGATGTAAATGTGAGCGTTCAAGGAAGCCTTTTCAAACCAAAGTTGTGTTACAGCGTTTTTCCCCTGCTATAAATGGCTTTAAAATGAGGATCTAATCAGAGGTGATAGACTGTTACAGGTTTAAGTAGTAGAAAGCTTGCTGTCATTTGAAGAGCGTGGGTTAATTTTGACAGCAATAAAACTAATTCGTGTGGGGATTTCTTGTTAGAAATACACTCATACACAGCGAAGAGACGTATTCAGAAGAGGGCAAGAGGTGGAGAATTTATAAGCTTTTGTAAACTTATTTTTTATTACTGTTTTCATCCTCTCTCTTAGAATTAGAAATCAGAAGACGGGAGGATGAGTACAGATTTACAAGTAAGTGAACTCTCTCCTCGTGTCCTCCTCTGCAATATCTGCTCTTTTGATGTCAAGATAGAGTAGTCTTTAGTGACTGCTGGTTTGAAATGCTGGGTAAAATCCCATCTGCTTTTCTTCTGTGAGTAAATTTAATTGGTGGCATTGAGCGTGTTCTTAACAGAGGTGACTAGGATCTGACTCTATCTAATTCTGGGTGGAAAGCAAGTAAAAAGCAAGTAAAATTTAAAGATACCTTGTATGAAGTTGGTTAAATAATTACCTGTCCTTAGGGTTGCCCTCAATAGAACAAGTGGAATTTGAGGTTTATTTTTAATTTAGAACGGAGGTCTGATCGTATTAACAATGCCACACAAGACAGGATGGGAGGGAGGTAGATAGACGGGCAGGTAGGCAACTGTTTTCTGCAGGGTGTTTGTGCTGGTAAAAGGCACTGTCACCTTGAACCTCACAGTGGCTCTCTTAATCTGAGCGAGGTCAGGCATGTTTGTTTTCAGTTCACTGCAACTCTCACTGGCTCTTGAACTTCTTCAATTTATGATCCCAGTTACACCCCTTCAAACCAGTTTTCTTAATCTTCAGTATTCTACCCTGAAAATCAATTGCAACTGTAGTGCTCTGAAAAAAGAGCATCCAACTCCACCTCCGTATCCATGTGTAAAGACAAAACCTGTTACAACTCATCTAAGACAAGTTTTTAAGCCTTGAGAGCGGACCTGTGCGTTGCTTTTGTCATTTTTACAGTATACCAGTTCTTGTACTTTTTTGTCATAGAGATCAACAGTTTGGGATTATTTCCTCTCATGTGTTAAAAATAAAAACTTACAGTTAAAATGGGTCAATTTGTAAGGACTGAAGGTTTATTTTGTTTTTAACATAGAGGAATGCTTTTAGATAATCCACTGTGCCATTGGAAATTCATTTCATATATGCAAAAAAACCATTGCTTGTGCAAAAATCTGATTGGAATTCATGTTTTTGTAATAATTGTGCCATATTTCTGTTGCAGTCCTATCTGTAACTTCTGTTCAGAAAGAGTTACAGGTTTGCGGAGCAAAACAGAGGAGTCAAGCTTGTATTGTGTATTTAAGGTAGTGGCAGACCTTGCCAGTGCTCACACAGTGCTGCTGTTGTTCCCTTCAGAGCTACTGCAGATTGCTGGAATCAGTCCACACGGTAATGCTTTGGGAGCATCAATGCAGCAACAAATGAACCAGCAGATACCTCAGGAAAAACGGGGAGGAGAAGTGTTAGATTCACCCAATGACGACATAAAACTTGAAAAAAGTAATATTTTGCTGCTTGGACCAACTGGATCAGGTATGCAGCTGCACGTTTTTATGGGTGTCAGATTTTTCCTCGAATTGATAGAGCAATTTTTTTCCTCCTTTGTGATTATTCCAGTTTGGCGTATAGAAAGCTAAACTGTGAATTCCAACCCGGGGTTTTGTGCTTTTGTGCCATGGTAACAAGCTGAGCCAAATGGCCTTGAAAAGGAGGTCTGGTCATGTGCCTGGGTTTGTTTGGTTTTCTTTTTTTAATGCCTATATTATTTAGTAACCGATTAAAAGGTGGAAGTTTCGCTAAGCAGAAATAAGACACATTTAAAGTTTCTCTGCTTTAGATGGCAAGTTGAGATGCTGTGGTTAGTGTTGTTTCACCTGTGGGACAGGTCAGTTATGGGGAGGGGGTTAAAAAAGAAATTATATTTGTGTGTTCCTAAGAAGTGGGAGTGTTTGTGCTGAAGTGATAAGCATTTTGCAGACTATTTGGGAGAACATTCGCCGAGTAATATTTTAATTTGATTTCTCCCCAACTTCAAAGCAGGAGCACCCTGAACGTCTGCAAAGCACTACTGATTTATTTAATTTTTAATCTAGGCAAGGATATGTATTTTGGTTTTTATATTGTGTGGCATTTGATTTGTGATACTGCATGCCTTTCAAGCTGCCTCAAATGTGTAGTCTTGGTCTTAGTTCTGAAATACAGCTTGCCAGCTTAAAAACCATGGCTCGGGAAAACTAGCTCCCTTGGAAAATATTCCAGTATGACTATATGAACATGCTGGCATCATTCAAAATGTCTAACGACAGTAACAGTGATCTGATGGTAAATATTTGGTATTGTGTGCTCTAAAGGGATGTATGGAAGTTACAGCATAGGGGTTTTATTTTATCAGGTAAAACCTTGCTGGCTCAGACTCTAGCTAAATGCCTAGATGTACCTTTTGCCATCTGTGACTGTACTACCTTGACTCAAGCTGGCTATGTGGGTGAAGACATTGAATCTGTCATTGCAAAACTCCTGCAAGATGCCAACTACAACGTAGAAAAAGCTCAGCAAGGTAGGCTTTTACAGTGTGTTTCCCCAAGTTCGTTCATAGACTCTGTTCATCTTGCCTAAGTGCTCTAAACTTTGAGACCACCACATCTTGCTGTTGCACGTACCTGAATTTTAACACTTTAAATCAGAACTAATAAACCTGAAAAGAGCTCTAAGCCTATCTTGTAGTTTTTATTCTTGTCCATTGTTGGACAAAATTGCCTTCGCTTCTGCCATCTACAGAGTGGAAGCAGAACAGACTGCTGCTGTCTTCAGTTATGTTCTTTTCTGTGTGTAAGTTCTTACTTCTCTTAAAAGATCGAGTCTTCCTTAAATCCCTTTTTCTGTAACTTCAGGGATTGTTTTTCTGGATGAAGTAGATAAGATCGGCAGCGTTCCCGGTATTCATCAGTTACGGGATGTCGGAGGAGAAGGTGTTCAGCAAGTGAGTACTTCTGTGGAGTGATTTTCCTTCATAAGCGAACAGCCCATCAGGTCTAGGGATCTTCCTGTCACATGCCAGATAGCGCAGGAGTGTGTAGAGTCGTGATTCTTCAGTTCCTTAATTATTAACCTTTGAAACCTTCATCTTTCTTCTTTACTTTCTTCATTCCAAAAAAAAAAAAAGCCTCAAAAGCAACTCGAGGCCGCTTCATAGGAGCGTTTTGATTGAAACACACTTTTGCAGCGCTCGGCAAGTTGCGTAATGTAGGCAAGAACAGGTAACACTTTCCACTTTGACAGAACTCTTCAAGCAACTCATTACTCAGGGCAGCTCATAATGTGCGTGGGAGTCCCCTCAAAGGAAGATTTTTGCCTCTCCTTGAGTAGGATTGTCTCGTATGGGAAAACTTGATTTCTTTAGGCACTTACTGTTACTATGAAGGCATAGGGGATGGAAAACGTGTAATTGCATCTGTGAAAGTAAGCACAGCATGGTGTGCTGCCTTGTATGATGCTACACAGTGGAATTTTATATTGCTTATTTCTTCTTTCCTTCTCAGGGCTTGTTAAAATTACTGGAAGGCACAATAGTAAACGTTCCAGAAAAGAATTCTCGTAAACTACGTGGAGAAACGGTGCAGGTTGACACAACAAACATCCTCTTTGTGGCCTCTGGGGCTTTTAATGGTCTTGACAGAATTATCAGCAGGAGGAAAAATGAGAAAGTGAGTGCATCGGGCTGTATCTGAATTGAAAAATGATTATGTTGGCTGCTGTTCACAGCTCCTAAAGGTCTGGCTGTATTTGTAAACCTACTAAGTTTGTTTGTAGAGCGGTGGTTTTCTGTCTGTTATCTGGGAATCTGAGGTCAAGCCTAAGAAAGGGAGCAAAGAACAAGCCTGTTGGTAGTAGGCTGAAGTAGCTCGCAGCGGTCTGCTTCCACAGAGAAATTTTTAGCATATGCAAATAGGCAAAAAAACGCAAAAGAGGGGGGAAAAAAAAGGTTGAAAGCTATTGGTAGAGAACTTGCTGTCCATACTGAAGTGGTAAACTTTTTCCATTATTGTGATGCCCTGTGTTTCTTAAAAACAGAATATGTGAAACAGTTGTAGCAATTATAACAATTTTGGTTGCGGTGCACCGAGTCTGAAACTGAGGAAAAGCTCTTTTTTTTTTTTTTCCCTACTGACACCCAGAGGTTTACTGTTGGTACTCGGGTAGTTCAAGCCAATGGTGCTAAAAGCTGTCATCACCTTAAAATACCCAGTCATGCAGTTTACTGTTTGATGTGTTACTGGCTGGGGACAGGGTTCTTCAGACACAATGTGCACCCTTCTAACGGGGGAGTGACCGAAATCCCAATTACTGTTTATAACTCACGTAGCTTTTCATGCAAGTGTTCTTGTGTGGATGTGCTTCACGTCTGAAGAGCCCTTTTTAGTGTCACTGGAATTTGTAAACCTACCAGGACATGTTACTAACTGTATTTTAAGAAAAACTTACTTTTATTCATTCAGATGTGTTGATAACTTACTGAGGGACTTAAATGTTGTAAGAAATTGATTGTGTGCAAGACGTCCAATTTTGCTGTAAGTAATTTCTTGAACTGATATGTAATGACATAAGTGGTCACTCCAGATTTTTTTTTTTATGCACCTGGAACGTGATTCAGTTACATAAAGAAAACCATTACAGCTCTGTAAGTGTAACATGTTTGTTGTGCAGTATCTAGGGTTTGGGACTCCATCCAATCTGGGAAAAGGCAGAAGGGCTGCAGCAGCAGCTGACCTTGCGAATATAAGCGGCGAGTCGGATCCACATGAAGATATTGAAGAAAAGGATCGCTTGCTGCGGCATGTGGAAGCCAGAGATCTCATCGAGTTTGGCATGATTCCTGAGTTTGTGGGACGTTTGCCTGTCGTGGTTCCTCTGCACAGCCTCGATGAGAAAACCCTTGTCCGGATTCTTACTGAGCCACGGAATGCTGTGGTTCCTCAATACCAGGCGCTGTTCAGCATGGATAAGGTTTGAATTCTTGTTTGATGGCTCTTTGATATTCCTGTTTATAAATACAGCGTAGAAGCGACCTAAAATACCAGTTGGAATCACTTCTTCCCCTCCCCGCTCTGAAAAAAAGTAAGCTAATTCGTTAAACCCTGCCTGGTTTAGATTGGGTAACTGTCCTTGTGGGGCAAGTAACCTGGGAGTAGCTGAGCTTCTCTTAGTGTTACTGTTCAGATGAACATCCATGACCTTGTCTAATGGGCATCAAGAGTCGTGCTGTGTACTGTAGAGGTACTTGTAGTAGTTGTAGGTGAAGGGCCGTACTCAGCACTGGTGATGTTAGTCCTGAGTATAAAGTGTAGGTGAGGCTTGACGTGTGCGGGTTGAACGCCAAACGTTCTGAGGGGTAACCAGTAAATCGCCCCTGTTTGGTATTTTCAGTAACACGCTGTTGCACTCAGCCCGCTGTTGAGTTATAAATGAAATAATCAACTAAACTTACCCTTTTTCTCTACGTAGTGTGAATTAAATGTAACCGAAGATGCATTGAAGGCTATAGCCAGACTGGCCCTGGACAGAAAAACTGGTGCAAGAGGCCTTCGCTCTATAATGGTGAGTAAATGAAGTCTCCAGTTAAATAAAGAAGCTGCCTGCGTTCGTGGGTGTGGCCCTAATCACGACAATTTTCAGTCAAAACCTCACTTAATTCTGGGCCTTATGTGGCTACGCTAAGTCTCTTTCTAAAATTGTGGGTATTCAGAGTTCTTCCAAGAAAACTAGCTCTGGAAATCACTTGCTAACCATTTTGTTACGTACAAGAGGGCATACAGGAATATTCTTTTTTTTTCTCCCTTTGTTTTCTTGTAGGAAAAGCTGTTGCTGGAGCCCATGTTTGAAGTGCCCAATTCTGACATTGTATGCGTGGAAGTTGACAAAGATGTTGTAGAAGGCAAAAAAGAGCCGGGATACATTAGGTAAAACCACAGTGGAAGTGTCAGAACAGAGGAGTAGTACAGCTAGACGGGTGTTCTGATGTTTGCTGTAGGAACGAGCGTACAAACGCCCAGCCATGCACACAACCCGGAAAGGATCCAGTGCTCTGGGTGCTGAATCGGTGTCTGTTCTGTCCTAGAGACTTTGGGGCTGTACTGCTCTAGTTTTTAAATAGAAATTTAAAAATAAACTTATGTATGAAGTTACTTTAAGCCTTTTGTGTGTGTGTGTGTATACCTGTAGAAACAGAAGTCAGTTATAAGTATCATAAGTTAACAGTAAAAATCTGGCGTTGAATTGTCACTGTGCTGCCGTTTCTGAAACAGAACCTTTTTCCTTCCTCCTTGTATTTTGTTCCACTGAGGTGGTTTGTTTTATGCAATCTCCAGGCTGATGCAGTGTTCTCAGCTGCTCTTGCAGCAGTGGAGAGCCACCAAGGCACACTTATTGGTTGCTGGACCCTTGTTAAAATAATCAATTTAATGCTGTGAAGGTTGTGTTATGGTAATGATGCAGTGGAACGCTGAAATCCCTGGACAAATCTGGATTTGAAAAAAAAAAAAAAATCTTAGTTTTAGTGAACAAAGGATGGAATTGAGAGGGAATGGGTCAGGTTAAAAACACAGGTCTGAAATCTAGCAATCTGGCTTCGTTTCTGCCCCTGAACAATTTTTTGAGTGACTTTCCCCACTGAGGTACGTACTTTATATTCCTCTGTGTCTGTGCCGAAGCCTGGCTCGGCACACCTAGTGTCTCAAAGGGCAGGTTGGAGCGGAAAGTGGCACGCTTACCCTCGTGGCTGCTTTCCGTGGCTTTGTGACGCACCAGCATTCGTGTTTGCTGGAAATACTGAATTTACTGGTTAACTCAAACGACTTTACTGAATTCAGTAGCCTTTTGGCTGTTCAGTGAGGAGACTGCATGCTTGTAAGTCTGCACAGCACCACTTTCCGACCAGGAGGTCGTTCAGGCGGTGGCTGCTTGTCAGGACGTTTGTCACCGGGGCGCTTTGCAGGTGGCGTGTTTACCAGGAGCTGTGGAAACTGTCTCCGTTCTTTTCCTCAATTTCTCAAGTGTCTGATCAGTTCGTTTTAATTATAGGGCTCCCACTAAAGATTCGTCTGAAGAAGAATACGACTCTGGCGTGGAGGAGGAAGGCTGGCCTCGACAAGCAGACGCGGCAAACCATTAAATACTGTCGAACGCTCACCCGCATAAAGCGCACGTGGTTCTTTCCTTACGATTGCCTCTGGCTTCAGCGCGATCCTAAAGGCGTCGGATCTCTCTCGGCTATGATACGTGATGAGGAACTTTTATTAGCTAAATCAGATCGTGTATTTTATTGCAACATCACATTGATTTATTGGATGGACATTGTGTGGACTGGGACGGCATAATGTTCAGAGATGAATTGTACATGACACTTGTTCAATTAAAATGTATAGCAAATACAGCAGCACCCGGATTGCTCGTTGTAGGAACTAAACCAGCGATGCAGGTGCTGCCAGTAGTTAGATTTTACTATAATATTACTCTACAAATGGGAAATCAAGATTAACAATTAGTAGAGGGGGAATAAACTGTTAGCTCCTCGTACGACTCACAGGGGGTTACATTCAGGTCAGTGTTAGATTTCCGCTGGTGTTTGAAGCCCTTGGTGGGTGCTGGAGTGACTTGTTACATGGGTGGGGGAGGAAGCCCTTGCCACGGGGTTTTGGAAAAATTGGGACACGCTTTATGACACTGCTGGGAGATTTTGCTGAAATGTGACACTAGTTTGTTACGGTAATTCGAATGCAATATCAAATAATACCCTTTCCTTCACCTCTCCGTTAGGAGTAAGTTTGGGTCACCTTGAATACTGTCAAAGAAGGTGAAGTCAGTCCTTTGCTCATTTTTCCCAGAGGGGTAAACAAGATTTCCAGGAAGTGGTAAGCCATCTGAATTTGGACGAGAAGTCGATATAAATTTTTAAATATTAATGTTCTAATATAGTACATTTTGTTTAACGTATTGGAACTATCATGCATCAATTTTTTGGTGCCAGGTATTTGCCCGACCTATCTTATAATGTTAAGAGATGAGAGAAGTAACTGTATCATATTTTTGATGTAATCAGTAGTGATTGTTCACACGACAGCGCTTTTTAAGTTATGTGCTCAAGTGCTGGTACTGCATCTTGTGGTTTTGTCTTTGATTTTTAGTCTCACAGCAAAGCAATCCTCCCTCTTCTGTTCTACACCCAAATTAATTAAATCCTTTAGGAAAGTCCTTGTAAAAAAAAAACCACCAAACAAACCAAAACAACCCAACACTAAAGGACCGATATGTCTTTGATTTGTTTCAGGAATTAAAATTGTTGCTTACACCTTTTTGTCCTTGGGTGACACGTGGACTTAAGTTTTACTGACTCTTTTTTTCCTAAAATTTTAATTCACGCTATTAAAATAAAACTTTCATCGTTCTTTTCAGTCTAGTGGATGTTTTAGGGCAGGAAGGGATATACTGCAGATGTGTTGACCCTGTTTTTGTTGTTAATTTGTCCTGTAAATTTTATGTGATACGTGTGTTCTTACCTAGAAGCAGTGTGACATGCAGCTGTAGCCTGATGCCACAGATACTTCCCTTTAGATTTCAGGTTTTTTCGGGTTAAATGACCCATTAATGGTTCGGAAAAAGCTGCGTTCAGAGTTGAGGATGTTTCTAGGAGAAGCTTGGTCCCCTCGACGTGGGAATCTGTGGTGAACTATCTGTGACTGCATCCTCCTTTTCCTTTTTGTAGAGTGAAAGAAAAAAATAATATAACCGCTTTTACTTCCGACTCCTTTATTTCAAATCCTTTTTTAAACGGATGGAGAAAACCAACATTTTAGGCGAAACCGTTCAACAACTTAGTTTTGAAAGTTGTTTGGAATTCTGTAACCGAGAACTGTTTTTAAGGACACAAAATGCCGTGTAACTACAGTTTGTACTTCACCTCTGGCGTTTCAATAAAACAAAGCGAATATTCAAGCAGCGGCCAGTTGTCATCCCTGACGTCCTCCCCCTGCAGTTTTCAACTTTAGGGGTAGTGGGAGCTTT